AACCCAGCTTTGCTAAATCAATACCACCTGTCACATGACACCACTGTGACATTTCTGGCACAAGCACTATGTCCTAATAGAAGATGGAAGTGGGAAGCAGCAGCAGTTGGTGAATAATGGATCAGATATGCCTGATTTGTAACATTTACAAAGAAAGGGCGTTGTCTCCTAGCTACAGAACAAACTGGTTATCAAAACGGGAACTAGAAGTTCTGTGTTGTCCAAAATACAAAATGTGAGATAAAGCAGTGTGGAGCATATAGCTATGGTTCGCTGAACTCCCCTATGCTGCCCAGAGGGCTGTCCCTCCAAATTTGACTCTGGGTCAGCAAAAATGTGCATTAGTGTAAAGAAAGAAAAAAAGAGACAAAGAGAGGGAGGGGGTAGAGGTGGTGAGCTGTTGATTAGAACTGGTGTTGCCAGTTGGTCGCCTGGAGCGCGGCATGCCCGTGCTGTGTGTTACGTGGATTGGAGAGTGACGCTGCTGCTCACTCACATGTGGCTGCTGACAGAGAACATGCCTGGCAGCAGCGGAGTCCTTGTGCAAACTAGACGTGGGGTTGGCTTAGGTGTACTGCAACAAGCTGTAGGAAAGAATGGTGGATGAGGAGGCTGGAGGGGACTGAAAACCAGATACAGATCTGTCTGGTTGTTTCACAGCGTGGCCCTTGCTTGCTAGACACAGGTTTGAAATGCTGACTGTTCTGTGTTCTCGTAGCAATGAAGAAAAAATTACGTTGAGTTGAAAAGTTTGATGCTGAATTAGAACAAAAATGTTCTGACAAGGAATGGAAAGTCCAATATTTCATCTTCCTCTGCAACATTCAAAAATTAAACTGAACCAAACCAGAAATTCGACAAAAAAGGATAAAATGCGGCATTGCCGCAGTAGGCCGCGGAGAGCTGTGATTTCCTTTGCATCCTTCATCTCCAGTTTCTTTGAACTGCATGTGGCAGGGAGATGCCCCCTGCCATTTTCACCTTGGGCAAGGGTTGTATTTGCTAATATAACAATAGAATTCTCCAGAAGGCTCTGACAGTGTTTGCTGTTTCAACAGTAAAAACCCCTGGGATTTCTGTCCTTAGCACATAAAGTGACCGGATCTTCATCCTCTGAGCTTTCTCCTGTCAAGAAGAGAGCAGTCACTTATCAGATTTGGTGTGGACGGAAGGAAGGGTAAGAGAGGAACTTTGTCAAGCCATGACGTGAAATATTTTATATTAAGAGACCTGGCAAATGGTTCTGTGTGACTCCAAACAGGATGAGATAAATTTTCCAAGGTCAGCTCTCCCATACTCCAGGCTTTAAGGTTTAGTCACCGAGAAGTCAATTCTGTAACCTTTACAGCAACATCCTGCCAATGATGCAGAGACTGCGCTATTGTTGGCTTCAACAGCAACTCGTCTGCATCTTCAAAGGACAGGAGGCTGAATAATGTGTGTACTGTATGGTGAGAAACTTCTGAGCAGGAAAGTGCATTTGACAAATCAATAAAAATAAAGTAACCTGAGCAACAGGGTAACTATTCACCCAGGCAGTTGCAACCTGTTAAGAAAAGGCCATACTGAATGGTGGATGGAGCAGAAAGCAAGAATTCT